TGTTATTATTATTTATATAATAATAACTAATTTAGAAATAAATATATGAATTTCGTTTTAAAATAATTATAATGATAAATTTAGAAGACCTAATAATCACATAACTAACTAAATATTTATAAATTACTAAGGGTACATTTCTCTAAATCCCCATTTTTAAAAATTATTTCTTTTGTGAAAATGTAAGAATCGTGTCAATTAAATGCATAATATTTATAAAATTAATTAAACTTTTTTTATTGGTGTATTATCAAGTTATTAGCTTTTAAAAGAATATTATTTAAAATTGTTAGCATACCAAATTATGAATAATTAAAGAAACATTTATAATGCTTGGTTTTATGTATCTTATATTTGCATTAAAGAAACTATTTTTATAGACCACCAAATATTTATTTAAATATTACATTTTAAATATATTTTTTATTACTTCAATTAAAAATGATATATCAATTAAACTTGTCTATTATTTATTATAATTTTTTTATTGACAAGCTAAATACACTAATAAACTCTCGTAAACCAACAAACTAGACAACTCGTTTCAGTTTCGAGATTGAGATTAACAAATGAAGACTTAATTACTATAAGTTTAATACTCTCATTCACCAACAAACTACATATTTCGTTATAGTTTCGAGAGTGAGATTAACAAATGAAGATTTGACAATTATAAATTTAATAAATCACTAAATAATTCGTTATAGTTTCGAGATCGATGAGTAGAACGAGAATAAGAGACAAAAAAAAAAAAAAAAAGGAAAAAAAAAGCTCCGTAGTGATTAAAGAAAGATGAAAAGAAAGTGGTGGGAGCATGTGAGGTTGATTAGCGGGACAGGGTTGGGGAGTGTCGTTTAGCCATGCATTGTACAACTGTGTGTCTGTGTCTGTGTTTTAGGCATATTCTTGTTCCTTATCTTTGACTGTCTGTCTCCTCCTCTCTTTCAACTTCCATTTCTTTATTATTTCTGCTTTAAACACACAGCACAAATTCAAACACTGGGCTTTAGATTATGGCTGAAGAGAAGCCCGGTCTCATAGCTAAATTAACGAGCCCCGCCCCGGTAAACACAGTTTCAGAGCTCGACCCCGATCTCTCCTCTCAAGTTGTTCCTTTACTTCTTTTACTTGTTTCTACCTATTTGGTTCGTGGGTCATATTCAACCCACTCTTTGTGAATTAATAAGCTGGATTAGTAAAAGAATTATTAAACCAAAACAATTTTAGGATAATTGTTTAGAAGTTATTGGGTTGAATAAGTTCAGAGAAATTGTTAGTCTGGAGGAATTGTTAGTAGTCGGAGAAAGTTTAGGAATTTGAGGACAAAGTTAGGACATGCTTTCACTCTAAATTCTCATGAGATGTATGTTATTTTCAGGACAATATAGAGAATTGATAAGCATAAATGCTTAAGATTTCTTTACTCCAAAAGGTCTCTTCCCTCAAGTTGTTCTTTCTACTTGAGTTGTTTGTTTTGACATATATCGATCGTATGCCATTTCCAACATTTGGTATTAGAGCTAGGATGCCGAAACAAATGTTGTCACCATAAAAAGTCGCCGGAGGAGATGTGACAACGATAAGGAGCGGAAGAGAGGGGAGTGTAATGCTCCAATACCCGTTACTCACGAAGAGTAACTACGCAGCATGGTCGATAAAGATGTGTGTTAACTTACAGGCACAAGTGAGGACGTTGAAGAGCGTAAGGACATGATGACTCTTGCCGCCTTCTACCAAACAGTCCTAGAGGACGTCCTTTCTTGTCTCTTAGTGAGAGTCTGGTGAGGAAATCCTTGACGAAGGAAAATTGCGGAAGAAATTGGTGAGAGAATAAAAAATAGAAAATCAGAATAAAATAATAGGAAGAAAGAATAGGAAGATTTGAGATTTTTGGAAAAAAAAAAAACAGGGTGCTCATATTTATCATTTAATTGACCTAAAAATATACTCTCACGTATGTGCATAGATGACCTAAAAATAAGATTCAAACAACTAAGTTAAAAAAAACGTGAATAACTAAATAAGAAAAAATCACAGTCTTTTATCTAACATCCTTCTCATGCTCGCAAAGAAGGACTCGACTAAGGCAGTATGAGAGACGCTGCAAACAATGCATGTGAGTGTGGAACGTATCAAGGAAGCAAAGGTGCAGACCTTGAAGATTGAGTTCGAGACTATCCGCACAAAGGATGGTGAGTCAATAGATGACTTTGCAATGAAGTTAACGACAATCGTCAGCGGCATCTATTCATTAGGTGACGTGATGGGGAGATCTTCGTTGTCAAGAAGTTCTTTCGAGCTGTTCCCTCAAGATTCATGCAGATTGTTACCTCTATCGAGCAGTTCGGCGACCCCAAGAACATGTCCGTTGAGGAGGTGACTGGTTGTTTTAAGGTCCATGAGGAGAGACTTCGTGGCTGCGAAGACAAAGAGGAGGAGAAATACCTCTTACTCACACATGAGTGACTTGCATAGATGAAAAAGAAAGATGCAGATGACTTTTGTTTTCAGGTTCAAGTGGACATGGCAGCCATAACAAAGAAAAAAGAGGTTGTGGACGTGGCCACGGACGTGGTGGCAGAGGAGGTCATGACAATACCTCACAAACTCATGTAAATGCCAACCCTCGGAAGGATAAGAGTATGATCAAGTGATACTCTTTGTGAAAAATAAAGGCATTATGCGGCAAAATTTTGCAACAAGGAGCGCGATGAGGAGGCAAACCTCAAGTTCTCGGAGGATGAAGAGCCCACATTGATGTTGGTCAAGGAAATACCCAACTTGTTGATACTCAATGAAGAGAAGGTTATGGCGAACCCCTTCATAGACGGAGAAGACCAAGTGGTACCTAGACAACGGAGCGAGCCATCACATGACCGGAGATTGAGCAAAGTTAAAGGAGCTTGATGAGAAGTCCATTGAAAACGTGAAGCTTGCGACGGATCAATTATATCGATACACGGTAAAGGATCTATCTTGTTCTAGTGTAAGAACGGTGATCAATGTCTATTGACCAAGGTGTATTACATCCCGAGTTTGAAGAGCAACATTATTAGCCTTGGTCAAATGACAGAAGAAGGTAGCAGAGTGGATATAGTCGGCCTATTTCTTTAAGATATATGACCAAAATGGAGCCCTGTTGATAGAGGTAAAATGGTCATGAAACCGCCTATATAAGATACTATTGAAAGACTATCAACATCTTCCAAAAGTATCTATTGGCGTTGGCAGCAGGAAAGTGAAGAAGAAACTAATGGATCACGAGAAAAAGGAACCGAAAATAGATCCAAGAAGCAACTAGAGGCTGCTTCAATCAGCGAAGTGCAACCTACAAGTCGATGTGTTTCATCAGACTTATCATCTCAACCAAGATGGCCCAGAGGAAGGACGTAAGAGAAATGAGACTTCAAACTTGTCATTTTAACCAAAGAAACCTAGAGACCAGCCTAAAAAGAAGGTTGAAGGACAAAAGAATACCCTACAAGATGAAGAATTCTCTACGCAGAAGAGAGGAGTGGAAGAAATTGTATGCAGCAAACTTAAAAGGGACCAATCAAAGTTGAAACTAGAGAGCAACGTGCAAAAATTCTCACAGAGACTCTAGCAAGGGTCTCCGGGAGTTGCTCAAAGTAAAAATTTTTGAACAAAGTCAATCTTACGGAAGAGAATGGGAGTTAATAAGCTTGCCTTAGTGCCCCCGTGTCGAGAACCCATCGCCGGTGCCTCTTGCTACTTGCCTCTTTCACCGATTTGAGGTGCGAACACTCGCTCCTCCTTCAATTGAATTGGCTCCCCAGCCGTGCCTTTTGTTATGCACAGTTGGAGCTCTTCCTCGGGAACGCTTGTCATGGACCCCACAGACGTGTTTATCTTTGTGCTTTGCATTTTCGTCTAATCGAACCTGGGACGTGTTTATTTTTGGGCTTTGCATTTTCTTTGTGCTTTGCATTTTCGTCTAATCGAACCTGGGACGTGTTTATTTTTGGGCTTTGCATTTTCTTCTAATCGAACCTGAGACCTGTGCTTTGTTAGGTCAATGCTCTAACCACTTGAGCTATTCAACTTTATTGTTGATAAGTTGGCTCCTCTACAATGATATACCACCGATGGCTTCAACCGGGCTCATCCCACTTGTTGAATTTCGATAATCGGCCAGGGAAATCCTTTTATTTTCGGTGAGAGGAAATTGTTGATGGAAAGTTGTTGGAAGAAAATAACATGCGTAAAATAACAAAGAGAGAATTGCTGAAATTTTGACTGTGCTTGAAATAAGGTTATGAAATCTTCTTAACAGATTTGTTATTTAAATATAACTTATCCTAAGAATGGTCGAAGAGTGGCCAACTAAATCTGTGTCACTTTCTACAAAATTACGGTCTAAAACCGATTCGACGTGTGTTTGTCAAATGGTCAAAAGGTATTCAATTGAAATCGTGTGAATTCAGATTTTATCTAACAATCTAGACGAATTTTAAAATAATTGTTTAAGAGTTATTGGCTTGAATAGGTTTAGGGAAATTGCTATTGTTTAATTAGAAAGAATGGTTAGTAGTTGCTTAAGTTGATGAGAGAGTTTAAGAATTCTAGGAGATCACTTATTCTTTCTCCCGTCAAGAAAGATAATTGATAAACTACTCATGTGATTTATGTTATTTTCACTACAAGAAAGATAATTGATAAAAGCAAGTATTTTTAAGCTTTCTTTGCTTCAAAAGGTCTCTACCCTGAAGTTATTCCTTTAATTACTTGTTTCGATTGTGGGACATGTCCAACACACTCTTCACTCACTAAGCATTCATGTTGGTTTAGTTCCAAACTGAGTCGACATGAACTCAAGGAGTTCAGTTTTAGGGGACAGAGTCTGTTTCACGACGCTATGTTCAAGGAAGTCATGGCACCATTGACGTAGCCTTGGAAGCTGCTGCAATTGACTGGTTAATACTTCCTCCCCCAAAGCCTCTTCCATGGCTGGAGTCCAATAAGCTATGAAGTTAGCAACAATGTCCACAAATCCCAACGTTTCTCCTCCAAAGAACTTCTTCCCTTTCAGCTCTTCTTCTAATGCTCTCAATGCCTCACCTGCCTCTGCCACTGCCTCTTCTTTCTCCTTCCCCTGCCTTCTCCTCGCCTTTATCAATGCTTGCAGCAGCTGTGAATCCACAAAAATAGAAACCCAAATGATATCAACCACCTGATACACACACACACACACACACACACATATATATCAAAAGTGCTTACCTTGTCATCCATGAACTTGGCCCAGAACAGAGCCAGAGCTTTTTGATAGGGATCGTGAGGCAAAAGGGGGTTTTCCTTCCAAGTCTCGTCAATGTACTGAAGGATAACAATGGACTCTGCAATGGGCTTGCCGGCATGGACGAAGGTGGGCACCTTCTTGTAAACAGGGTTATATTTTAGAATCAAATCGCTCTTCTTCTTGTATATTTGTTCTTCAATGTAATCATATTGAATACCCTTTAGTTTCAGAGCCAATTCTACTCGTCGGCTGAAAGGACTGAACCATGCCCCAAACACCTCCACTTTTTCTCCCATTTCACCTTTCCTCTGCCATTTCCTCTTTCTTTCATTCCTTTTATAGCAGCTCCTAAATGAGTATTCTATATGTCGTAAGCCCATGCGACATCAAAGTGGGTATTCAAAATGGGTTTGTCTTTGACTTTGAGATGTCAGCTTGTTGTTTAGTTGGTAGAGAGGTAGGTTTTTGTGAGCAGGTAGATTGCATGATTTAGGGTATTTTCATCTCTACTTTCTTTCTTAAAGGATAGTTTTGGTTAGTTTTTGGACAATCCTTTAGTTTGATTTTGAAGGTATACACCCGCTATCCAATACGGTGTCCGTAAATGATATGGGTATTCGAGACAATGCCTTGATTGAACCTAGATGAATAGATGTTTGGGATGTTTCGAGATTATGAACGATATGTGGGCTCATTCTCGATGACATGACTAAGTGAGCTGCGATGGCCAATGATACCTTGTGACTTGGGATGACGTCAAGACCTATGAGCTATGTCGATTGGGAATCAAGATGACAAGATGACAAGATGTTAGATGTGACGTTGCATTGAGAGACCTTGACCCCGAGAAGAGGTAAGGTTGAGCCCAATGACTTGGCCTAGTGTAGAGACAAGTCAGTTGTGTCGCAGATGATTGAACATGCATGCGCAGGGGACATGTGGGACCGAACAAGCTTGGATCCTGCACAAGTAATGTCTAGTTGGCGAACACAAACCTCACCTAAGGTCTAACGAAGCCACAAAACCGGGTGAAAAATCTATATGCTTGGGTTCCCCTCATAGCTTCTCGTGAGCATGTCAAGTTCACAACGCCGCATGGTTGAGAAAGTATGACTGTGACACGTGGCGCGCTGTCCGCCAGATGTGCTTCCCCGGCCATTGGCGGACGTGTGTCGCACTCTCAGCTAGCTGTGATTGTCCACCCAACGCTTGATGAGTGTCACGCTCTCAGCTTGCCACGTTCGTCCACTTAGCGCTTGACACATGTTCACCTGCAATTCATCCTCCATATTTAGCTTTCCAGATTTTTGTGTTTTTCACATATTGAACCTATTTTCTTTTGATTTTATAAATTTTCTTATTTATCTCAAATTACCTTAGTTTCTTTGGAAAAAAAGAAAAGATTATAAACTTTTAATCCATATATACCTAAGTATTTTGCTCTTAGTTTTAGGACAATTCGAGAAGAAAATAAACACGTTAAAATATGGACTAAAACAGTATAACTTACAATCTTGCAAATTCTTGACATTCTTCGAAATGTCGTCTTCCAATTCGAACTAACTATGGCTTCCTTCATGAATCCTGTACGAAATTCCTCCGACATACCTATAAATCAAACCCTAAAAACTCTTGGATTTGGAGGAAAACTGAATTAAAAAATCTAAAATTTATACTTACCATTCTTCTTCAATTCTTGACGGAATTGAGTGACTCAAAGGCCCAAAATAGATGTCGCCAACCTAATTCAGCAAGTTTTGTGAAGGAAAATCGGCGAACTTCTATCTCTAAACTCGCTCTCAAGAATTCGTAAACTTTTTTTTTCCTCCTTACTCATTAGAACTCTTAGGGCTTAACAAGACCCCTCATTAGGCAAGGTGACAAAAGGATCATTTTGCTGCTCGGTTGACTTTGACCGACTTTTTCCTTAATTTTTACTATTTTATTTATATTTTTCTTGGGTTCGTGGAATTCTTTTAAGCAAATTTTTATTCTACCCAATATTGAAATTTAGTTTCTAAGACCATAACTTTGGACTTTATAGGAAAAAATTAGGTGTTTAATACTTTGTTGGAAAAAATTGGGTATTTAATACTTTGTTCGGACTCGAGTTACCATTAGTCTCTAAGCTTTTAAGAAATTTTAATTATTAAAATTTTAATATAACCATTTTTCTATTTTAGTTAGGATGATTTTTTTAATTGTTTGATAAGTTTGGCAATATTTTGACATCATAAATAACTTCAGATACACTAAATGGTTCAATTCACTATTACAAAAGTTCAATAATAGGTTAGCATTATTGTATGAGGATCTAGTTTAGATGGGAGAGCACTCACTTAGCATGCAAGAGGTACGGGGATCAATACTCTACATCAAGAAATTCTCTCAAACCTTGCCAATATCTTTTCTTACATTTTCTCTCTTTTGTTCCTTACGTTCATCTATATTGAGTGTGTCCGTTGTGTGATTTTAATAATACTCTTCCATTTGACGAGGAATTCTCGAATTCTCTGTACAGGTCTTCGACTTGTTTCCACTATAGGGAGGTTCTTCCATTTGACGAGGAATTCTCGAATTCTCTGTACAAGTCTTCTTACTTTCCTAACTCTGTCTTCTAGGATCATCTTTCTATTTTAGACCTATTCCGGGTTTGTTGTCGTTTGGATCGTGGTGGTAAGACTTTAGGTTACTCACATGGATTACTGGGCGAATTTTGGTCCATGTGGATAATGCCCTATAAGACATACCCTCGATTTTCTTAAGAACTTTAACTAGACCCTTGTATTTTATAACAAGTCATTGGTCTTTTTTTTTTATTGCAAATACGGAAATGTTCTAGCCTCAAGGCTAACTAAATAGGCACGCATGTATGCTTTCTATGTGGGCTTGGTCTCCTACTTAGAATTGGAGGGGGTAACGCTTTTTGTTTGTCCACTTCTTCATACGTTTGGAGGATTTTCTTAGGTAAAATCTGACCTATATATGTTGTCTGCTTCCATTCCCTTGTGAAGTTTTGAGTTTAAAGATTCTTCCGTGCAAATGGGTGGTCAATAATATGTGGTAGGGATGGTTGTCTCACAATTTCAAAGTGGCTCTTCTGAGTTGATGAACTAGTTTGGCAATTAAAGCAGAATTGGGCTACATCTAGTAACTGCACCCAATTTTTTTGACAAGCATCAATGAAGTGTCGTAAATATTCTTCCAGCAAACGTTTGAATCATTCGGTTTGTCCATTAGTCTAGGAGCGTAGCTCGAGGAGATATTCATCATTTTCGTCAAGAACAGGAATAACTATGTCTTGGATGTCTCGATATATCTGCCATCTTTGTCGCTAACGATGCTTGACGGAATACCCCACAACTTTGCAATATATTTGAAGAGAAGTTGGAGAGTCAATTTGACCGAGCATATCTTGGATGGGAGTATGAATGTGACATCGAGAATTGGTCGAGGATGGTCTTTTGACAATCTCGAGTGTTCATTTTGACAATCGGATGGGAGCATATCTTAGTGTTCATTTTGACAATCTCTAGCTTGATGCTGTCTATTGTTGCCATGAAGTCTTCAATCAACTCATTAAAAGGCTTCAGCATCGTCTTTTGTGAACTATCTTACTCTTTGACACGTTTTTTCATGTGCGCTATAGGGCTCTAGGAGCTACCTTGACTTTCTAGTCTACTCGGTTGTGTAGCTCTTTCTTTTAGGGAGTCAATCCTAAATATCAATTCTTTTATTGACAACCCATCCAGGCAGGTGCTCATAGCATCAATTCCTGTGATGTTTTCATTTAGTTCTACCCCTCGTTCTTCTAGGATGCCTATGTCAAGTACTTCTTTGAGGAACAACATTTCATGTTCGATCTCAATGAGTCGCTCAACTTACGACTTACTCGAATGCTTTGTTGCAGACATCGTTTTTTTTCTTTAACGGGACTAAGAGCTAACTCAGCTTTGCTACCACTTGTCACAATCACACTCCTTTCGACAAAAGAACAACAATTTTGCACCACTTTTTCTAACCTAGCGAACAAGTTAGCCGTGTAAAAATCTTAGTTTATGTAAAAATAATACAATAGTCGAGCTCGAGCCACTTTTTGAGAGAAAATATTTTAGAAAATGTGGTCGAGGAAAATCATTGAAAACAAGTTAAAAGTAAGCATTGTAAAAGTCAATTGCATTGAAAATATGTAGGCAAGAGAAAATACTTGGTCTAGAGAGGTTTGATGACTACTTAGTCCCCCTTAATACATTTTGAGGCGATTCATATTTGACTGGAGTAGACATGATTTCGTCGAAGGGTCATAGAACATAAAATGAAATATGAAAGTAACACAACGTGAAAGCCAGTAAAAGAATTTGACATGGCACGGCCATGCAGGCACAGACAACATGTCTTGGATAAATATGACCTTGACACTTGACATGCAAGATTTACGGAGATTAATACCTCACATCTACATTTCTCCTTTTTTGTTCGTTCTAATTTAAAATTTTAATCTTTGTTATATTATGATCAGCTTTGTTAATGGTTTAGTAAGCATTCATGATTTTATATGCTTTTAAAATTTACTTTTATGTTAGATTATAAATATTTGTGAACCATTAGGTTTCATTGTAATGATATGTACTAGCTTAGATTATAGAGCACATTCTTTACATCTCCATTTTTTCTTTAATCTTTGTGCAAATTTAAAAGCTTAATTTTTGTTATATTATTGATAGACTTTGTTAATTGTTTAGTAAGCTCTAAAATCATTCATGATTTTATATGCTACCTGAAGTTTATTATTTTCATATTAAGTTATAAATGTTTATGAATGGATGCAAAGAGATGTAGCTTAGATGGTAGAACACTCGGTTAATATGCTTAAAGTACAAAGATTATAGAACGCTTGTTTAGCATGTGAAAAGTATAAGGATTAATACCCTGCACACTACCAAAGGATAGAACATGACCTACTTGGAGAACCCTACTACACTAATCGAGCGTAGGGCATGACCCTACTATTGCCACAAAGATAGGGCAAGGGATAGGGCATGGGGACGTAACTCTTCCCAACTACTTATCATGGAATTTGACTAAATCTTTTGGTGTCCTTATCAAGTATTTATGAGGTGCAACCTTTAACCATTACTCTCACACTTGTGGACCAGATCCCGACCAAGGGACAGTTGGGAATCCCTTGATCGTACCCACATAAGGCCTTTATATGACACATTGTATTTTAGGGCCCGACATCGCTACTCTAGCTCCTGAAGGATTACAATGAACGACTATCTATGAGGTGTAAGCTCGAACTCTTCCTAATTACTTAACCTGGAGCATGACTAAACCCTTTCAGTGTCTTACTGGGGTAAGTATCTATGAGGTGCGACCTCTAAATATTACTCTTACCCCTATGGACGAGTTTCCAACTAAGGGATTGTTGCGAATCTCTTGGTCGTACCCACACAAGGTGTAACAACCCAAGCTCACCACTAGCAGATATTGTCATCTTTGGACATTTCATGTCCACCCCCCACCATCTCATGTCCACCTCTCTTCGGGGCTCAGCCTCCTTGCTAGCACATCTCCTGGTGTTTGGCTCTGATACCATTTGTAACGTTCCAGACCCACTGTTAGTAGATATTGTCCTCTTTGGGTTTTTCATTTTGAGCTTCCCCTCAAGATTTTTAAAACACATATGCTGGGGAGAAGTTTTCACACCCTTGTAAGAAATGTTTTGTTCTCCTCCCCAATCCATATGGGATTTCACACGAGGTCTCGAAGACTCCCGATTGTCCTAGT